AGACATAAATATCATTTTTATATAAAAAATGAATGTTTAAATGAAATTAAAACGAACTAAAATTCGATTTTATCGAAACAAAGTCAATTTTATCTCATTACATACGTAATACCAACTTTTTTTCCAATCTTCAAGAAAAATGAATGAAATTTCGTTCGACACCCAGTAATTTTACATCTCGACATTTATTAGTCACTTTGCCATCAATTGCTCAGTTGCTAAGCAAAAAAACTGGCAAGCAAAAAACAAAGCCAAATAAGTGTTTAACTAGCTGTAAGTGGAATTCTGTCTTAAGGCAATTAAGGCATCGTGCCTCAAGGGAAATTGCTGGAACTTCCCGTGCCAAAAATTATAATTTTTTTAAAAACGAATAACATTTTTTTTTAAAAATTACTTTGAAAAAATAAGATTTTTGAGAAACTATAAATTGGACAAAAAATTACTTTTTGAAAAAAAATTTTTTTCTTTATTTTGACATATTGTGGAAGATCTGAACTTTCTTTTCAAAGCAACCGTACTGCTTTAACTGCATAGGGACAAAATATAAAGCGCGTAAGCGCCGCGTCGCTGTCTAACGCATAAGCGTTAGTACGAAACCCATAGGAATGTTAACAAAATGTATAGTTATTGTTAAAATCTCTATAAAATATCTGATAATTTGATGTGCATATGTCTAATGATCATTTTTGACCGCCAAATGGCTCATTTTTTACTTTTTCCTCCATATCTCCGAAACCGCTAGACCTACCTTCATGAAAATTTGATCGATTCTTCATCTTGTCAATAGAAGTGAAATGTTTTTTCAGAACGGAGAAGGACGCTCCGTTCTCCTAAAAACTTAGTTACCGTTTTCGGCACTTTTTGCCCCGTATCTTCGGAACGGCTAGACCTGCCTTCGCCAAAAACTAATCAGCACGTCTCCTTATCAATACGAATCGAATGTTTTTTGAATTATTCAAATCGGTTGATCCGTGTTCCCGAAATCATCGACGAAAATTTGTATCCGCACATACATACACACACACACACAGGTATGCCAAAATGTTTAGAAACCTCTGAAACGTAAAGATATATAAAAATTATCATTTTTGATTTTTTTGCGATTACTATAACTTGCCCTACTGGAAGTTAAAAAATATTTTTTCATTGTATTTTTTGTAATATTGTTATTACTATTATATATTATTTTATATTTAAAATTTTGAAGTATTTTATTTACTTTTTTCTATATAATGCAATAAATTGTTAAAACTATAAAATGACTATAATAATTTCACAAAAGTCACTTTTTTAGGTCAATCAGCTTATGCGGCCTCTTTTATTGCTGCCTAATTTAAGTGTGGCCTCTAATGGCAAAAAGGTTCCCCACCTCTGGTCTATACTATATACGTTATCACTATGTCGATGGGCACCCTAATATATATATGCATATATATTGATCATAGATCTTATACACTTATACACGATATTTACTATGCTTACTACGTATGTGTGTGTATGATAATATTAAACGCTTCAGATATAATTGTATGAAAGCATGAGTATTGCCGTTTCATTTTTATCAAATATTCAAAGATTTCGAGTTATAATTATATATCATGTATATATGGAGTATTTCAGATTGCATATATATTTAGGCGTTTAAAATCATTTTTATAAAGGACTTGTGTACTATTGCTAATTCCTATAAGATTGGAATCTTATAGGAATTTTGTGTATTTCTGATTTTATTTATTAATATTTATGTATATATGATACTATGCGAATATAATTATCATAACCTGGAAAACAAATTTTTCAATATATCAATAAAAGATGATATCAGTTAAGTAATAAAAATACTCAATTCCGTCAATGATGCTTATGAAACACAATTTTATTAAAATTATCAAACAAATAACAAATTTCATATTTAAGATTAACAATTCTACAATATACAATATATATTAAGCTACATTAAGATTAAATTCATATACATAATATTTATCTATATATGTAAGATTAACAAATTATAAAAAATAATATTAAATATCGCTTCTTACAGGTCTAAATGTATACAACATAAACTATATAATTTAATTGTTAACAAATGTTACAGCATTGATCACAATGGTTATCATACAAAATTAAATTACCACAAATAATGATTCTTCATAATAAGAAAATGAAAGAAATATTATTGGTTATCTTGGTAAATTTTTGCGTTTCGAGATGTCAGTTCTTTAAATACAAACATATCATTTGTATTGGATATGAGTTATAATTTAATGAATGATTTTGCAGACAAGTGTAGAGAAACTATAATACATATGTAGTGAATGAACACAGAAATATAATAACTCAAAATTTTAAAATCAAGCTTGATCAAACAGAAATAGTTAAGCGTATATGACAATTACGAATAATTCATTCATATGATAGATAACAAATAATATTTGAATAAGTAATATTTTATAGCTATTTACTTGTTCATATTAATTATTTCTCAAATGATATCATATAAAAAAGACTGTGAGTAACTATGTTTGAGACAAATAATTATTTACTTTGATAATAAACTTTTTTTAGATTTCATAAACAAATTCATTCTGACACCAACTTATTTGATCATTTCGGATAGGCCAAACATATATACACCCTATCTAATATATTACAATATTTATGAAGATTATAAAATATTTTCTCATCATATAATAATAACAAACAGCCATAATTGATAGATTTGTTTACCTCATTTTGCATTAAAAATTTCAAGCTATCACTTATTTATGCCAAATACGACATTCTGAGCATTTTTTTATATAGAAACATTTATATAAATTTCACCTAAGTATGTTAAATTAAACCTAAAAGGTCCGTATTAACATTTATAATTTACAAAATATATATTAAACACAGATTTTTGTGTACACGTTGCAGATTAAATTGAATATGGAAATTTATAGTTTAAATAAATAATTTATGAACAACAGAAATGATTTTCAGAAAACGTGCAAAGTAAATTAAATCAAAATAACGGTACAAAATTTGAATTCTGCATAGTGCTAGCACATACAACTCTTACAATGCATACTATTTATTACTTATTGAACATTTGATATAACCAACAATTTCAATTTATCTACAGAAAAAATATTAAGGTATTTATCTTCTGATCTCAGAGTTGATAAAATTAATATAAAAATATATATTTTTGCTAGCTAGTTCAGTAACAGATCAAATTACAATTCTTGATCATCAATTTTGCTACAAAAGTTTTTTTTTCTATGAAACCGTTCTAAAATGTGGTTCTGGGATAAATTGCACAACTACACAATTATTTAAAGGCTTCACATTACTTATGCCTAGTTCTTTTAATGATATATATATATATATATATATATATATATATATATATATATATATAATCATTTACATTATAATTTGGATTTATATCATTATTATATGTAATAAAAATTAAAAGAATGTTACAGTAATTTGTAATTAATGTAAATAATTCATTTAATTTGATATATCTTTCAATTAAAATCACAGTGAATATCATAAATCATTTGATCCATCATTCATTATGTAGTTTTAAGCAATAATATTGAAATTATGACTATTAACCATTAATTAATTCATTAGCCCTTGTTTATTGAAATAAGTTATTAACTTTATAGAAACTATAAAATCTTATTAAGTGAATAAAACAAATACAACTTTTTGCAAATTATTTGTTAGAGATAAATTATATTCTTTCAATAAATTATATACTTATGCTGCATTCTTGCAGTAAGGTCATTGCAATTGAATTGAACGTTAAGACATAATAAAACCACCAGTAAATGAATGATGATTCACATGAGATAAATATATTAATTATAAATGTTTGAATATAAAAATAAAAATGAGAAAGGTTTTTATAAATTCTTTTGTCTGCTTTTAAATTTTGATATATATATATATATTATATATATATATATATTATTTATATATATATATATATATATATATACAAATGTGTGTCTTTATACTGGTCGACCTACAACAACTAAATTGTGTTTTTGAAGAGTTATTCACAACATTTTATTATAGATAGTGTATCTCCTTAACATTATTATGGATTTGAAACCAATGATCACGTGCCATAACTACACAATCACAACAATGCATTTTCTTGAAATCTAAACAACGGATTTACTTATTGAATATTTTATAGTGCAAAACATCAAACACTATTCAATTTGTGATTATACATTCTTCAGTGCAATATAAATAAGTTTTCAAACATTATGTATACTTACATACAGTATACATACTAAATTTGCAATTAAAATATGCTTTATATTTATATACCAAGTATTAAAACTGATATTTATCCTGTATAAGTTGCTTGTTTATATAAAAATAAGTATATTTACACACTAGAGTGCTGAATTATAAACATTTCTTTTATTCCATTATAAGGATGAAATATAATGCTATGTCAACACACTTATATTCATATTTACACTCTTTTGAATATCCATTCATTTTCATATAGATTTTTTCATAAACTTTACTTTCAACGATAGCCCATATTGCACATTATTTAATCACTTCACTATTCTTCTTCTTATAATATAATTACTTACAAATATAGCTTATAATATAACTTACTCTTAGATTTAAGAATATAAATTAACTCACACGAATAGCACAAATATTTAACATATACATATATTAATTTTGGCTCGATGCCAAAGCAACTAATATAAAAATGATGAATTTTGATATCTCAGTTTCAAATTTTAAAAATAAATTTTATACTAAAAAATTGTCAAGGTATACAATATAAAATCAGTACGTCAAAAATAAATAATAGAAAATGAACAGTATGTTATAACATACTTTTCTTATGTGTAATCCAAATTAGTACATAAGTAATTTTGATATCTCATATCGAGAAATATCAACACACAACCTGGATTAACACATTTATACTGTAATCATCTAATATCTCTACTAATCATAATACGTTCGGTTTCTTTTGAGAAATTAATTTCATTGACAACTATTTATCAATATAATAAATGTTTTATTAATTGACTTATAACCACCACTTTTATATTTTGAATCTTCATTTTCTTCTGCTTCTTGAATTAATATTTAACATTATGGTTGAGTTCCGATTGACCGATTGGCACTGAAATTGAAAGAAAATATATCAATAAAATTGAATTAATTATTCACATTATCCTAATTTAAATGTTTAATTCAAAACTAAATATAAGATTTAAAATCAATCATAATGAAGAATTGTTTAAAAAAACTAAAATCATAGTTTTTCTTTGTTCCTGCTCGATTTGACCCTTCAATTTGAGAAAAATATGTAAAAACTAGTTCAAAATAACTAATAATAACGAATAATTCAATATTCAAAATACAGTTTGGTAAATAAAGAAAACATAATTTGAATATTTAATGAAAATTTGATACTAATGTGGTAATGAAATTTTACTTAGTAACATAGATGATAGTCAAAAGAAACACCTTGAAGTATCATTCAACCACTACTCATAGGCCTATAATATTTAAAGGTGTTTGTTTTGACTATAATATAGTCAAATCAATGCAGAAAAGTAAATCTGAGGTCCAGCTCGTAAAGATAATTAAATTCAACATAAAATATTAACCTAATAAGCAAAAAATAGACGCAACAATTAAACAACGAATTAAATTTAATAGTTCAAATCTTTTAACATATTTAAACAATTCTTTTGTTTGAATTAATGCCATAAAAATATAAAAGTAAAAATGCAAAAACTTGAAGATGATTGAAAACATACAATTATATAAGAAACGAATTACATCTAAAATCACCTCAAGGCGTCCAACGCTTTCGTGGTAAATAAAGAAATAATCACATACCATTATCGAAGCTGGTCGGGTCAATATAACTCAGGAGATCGTTATCAGTCATTGTGGAAAAGTTTCCGTCGTTTCTCATTCCCTGGTTGACGGCTTCGCTTTGTGCCACGGCCTGCAGATAATTCTGCTCGGCTTGCCTCAGTTGAATCTGCTGATTGACCGCATTGCATAGTTCTTGGCTGGACAGAATCTGGCTCGCGCTGGCCTGGGGTAAGGATACGTTGTTCATCATGGATTGCGGTGTTTGAGATGTCGCGACATTATATTGACGCGACTGAGAAGCATTGAGCATCTGTTGCACGTTACTGGCCATCATTGATGACTCCATCTGCTGATTCATTATGTTATTTATATGTTGATCCAAAAGTGTTGGCTGTTGATTCGTCTGACACAACGCATCGTTGATTCTCTGCTGATCTGTCTGTTGTTGCAATTCCGACTGCGGCGCCGATGGCGCTTGCGTTATTATCATCGGTGACTGATTTGGAGGAGGCGTATTATCGTTCAGCAATGTCGCCGAAGTCATCAGCGCATTCATTGCTGATTCCGTTATTGGAGTTTGCTGTGAAGTCAAAATTTCCGCCGCTGCATTAAGAATCATGTTCTTAACAGCAACTGGAGGACTTTTGTGAACATCTTGCGTTGATCGCTGCATTAGATTAGAGCTGTTCATCATGTCTGTCACATCTTGAGAGGTCGCATTCAAGGCTGCGTTCAATATATTATTATTCATAGCTTGTGTGACCTGATGAATTTCAAGCATCACGTTACTCGTGGACATGCTACTTTGGCACATCATATTAGGAGATACTTGTGAACTTAACAGCATATCGTGACTACTTGGCGAATTATTTTGATTCGATGGTGATGCATTTTGGTTCATCATTTCGTTTGAATTTGGTTGCGATGCCATGATTATATCCTGAGATACTTGTTGAGATAAACTAAGATTATGGCGCATGTTGGACATCAAATCTTGATTGATGGGAGATGAATGAGAAGGCTGGGATAAAATGCTGGACTGGACGTTCGGAGATGATTGTTTCATGACAGAATCTTCGTTGGAAGTTAAAACTATAGGAGACATATTAGATGAGGATTGGGGAGGACTTCCCATATGAGTATCGACAGTTGAATTGACTAAAGCGTCTAATTTTGATGTTCCCTGCGTACTTGTTAAAATATTAGGGGCAGATGTGTCCATAACTAGTGAATTATCTTTACTTGTTTGGCTATTCAAAAGAGAATCCAATGCTGCCTCTGTCCGCGTAGGCATTTCTTCCATCATTTGTCGAAAATTAGAGGAACTATTTTGAGATTCGTTTATTAGTTCATTGGCAATAGACGCCGTTATATTATTGGCAAGTAATTGATTGGTCAAATTGGTCCCAGATGACTGCATAATATTTTCTGAATGTGGCATCATTTCAGAAAGCTGATTCAATGATGCCCCTATTTGACTAATGGAAGGCACAGTGGATTCCGTAGGAGGGAATAAGACTTCAGTCGAATTGGCAGTAGGTAATGGATTGAACACGGCGGCCGCAACTGATTGGATCAGTTGATCGGTTTTTATCAAACTTTCAGTTTGCATTTGTAGCTGCTGAGACATGCTGCTAGATGGAATTAACCTATCAAGTTTTCCAGTATTTGCATCCATTTTAGACATATGAAAAAAGTTTTCTACACTTTGGGGTGGCATATTACTTGCGCCAGCTACAAATTGGTTAATAGCAGCCAGCGAAGATGGCTGTGCTTGTGATAAATCACAAACTGATGGTTTCACTCGTAAATCCATTACTTCTTTTAACTCCTGAGGTGAAAGCTGCGATGTGGGATTATTCGAAGACTGGAGAGATCTAGCTAATATTTGTGCAGAGTGCATTCCGTGCATGGATTCCTCGCCATGAGTTAAGAAACCTCTCTGACAAGACATAGCATCCATGGAATTTTCATTTCCCATAGAATTATCATTCATGGCTTCCAATTTACGCATAGCAATTTCTCTGTGCCGTAGCATCTCCATTCCATCCATGGAGTTATCATTATTTATATGATATTTACTCTCGGAACCCTGGCTGCTTTCATCAATAATTTCAGATTTTAAGGATGTGAGAGGTGGCGTGTGTGGATCTGGCAGTATTAAATTTGATGCAGAAGGCCTCCTCTGTCCTATGGACATTAGAGGTGCGGGTGGAGGCATCATGTTGACATCTAACTCGGCTTTCGGTTTGACGTCCGAGTTCGAACGCCACAGCATAACCGGTCGAGGCATGTCGTCCGGTAAAAATCGATTTCCTAAGCGATTTGAAGGATCTCCACACAATGACAAGCCTGAGGGATAAAATATGTTAGTATCTGACTAAAATAATTGGCTTACAGGGAAGGAAAACTTTGAAAGATTACGAAGTTAATTAACTGCAGAAATCCTGAAATAGGAACGGTAAACATAATTAGAGTGCCGGTCCACATCTCTGAGCGAGTGAAAAACATTCTGCTCTTTTGTTCATTGACGCAAAAATATGTCGAACTGACAAAACCATGTGAATTTGGTCCCATAAAATTTCGTGTAGAAAATGGTGTAATTTTATGGACCAAAATTTTCAAGCTCGTTGGTTCAACATGCCTCTGCTTCTATGAAGAATCATCTTCGAATCAATGGAAATGAATAAATATATATGTATATACATTTGGTACAAAATCATTGATCAAAATTTCACCTAATGTTTTCAGCTCAGCATTGTTGGATAAGCACCCTAAATATCCGACGTCGCTCGCGCGAATCGTTAGCGCGGCATCATAAAAATTCAAGACGAACGCCAAACATCATATAAAACGTTTATAATATATCTTAAAATTAAATCCCCTTTGTACAAAAATATAAATGCGAAAATTTGTCATAATTCAGATATGTATTAGGCCAATATGTACATGCCAACATGCTAATATCCCAAAAATAGAAAAAAAAAATGAAAATTTAAGGACAAATTCATGCTAAGATATATGTTACATATTGGCTGTATCATAAATTAGCATAAAAGTCATGGAAAACAACGTTTATATTTCGTAGTATATTTTAAGGAATACATTGGAAAGGAGAACTTGAGGTTTTCTGCTCGCATAAATCTGAAATTTTAAATTGTATTAAAGCAGACAGCTCGATTCATACTGCAACTCTTGATTTTCTAGTGGAACCTAAAGCTTCTTCATGCGGGTGAACATTATATGTACTGGATACATAATTTAGTAAATGTATACTCAATTTTGATCAAATTTGTGAAAGTGCGTACATTTCAAGTCAATATTATTGCAAATGTTTAAAACAATAGCCACCAACTATACAGATCACATATTTAATATTGGATATATTGAATATATATACACATAGAAGACATATTGACCGAGAGAGATAGTCATCTATTTTTCGGCTTTTACCGATAATGAATACCACATTATATATATAAAACCCTTGAATTTCTAAATCGACGGGTAGCACTTAAAAATATCAAAATATCCTTCAAAGAGCACAATCGTTTAGATAATCATTGTTCGATGAATATGATTAATTAAAAAAACCGTAGATAATTTTTTCTGAAACTATTAAATTTTCTCATGTTGCAACTCAATTATTTTTTGAATTAGTCGATAAACGTTCTTAAAGGAAGAGGCTATATAAAACTTCGCATTTAAATCTCACAGAAAAATATCTGAAAGCCGGTGGGCTATTGATTTAATCATTCGTTGAGATTATTTTTTGTTTCAATTGCAATACAATCGGAATACATCAGTAATATAAATTGCCTCTTCCAAAATCACGATATTATAAAATGAACATTAGCAGCAAAATGCAAATTTTATGTACTGATTCATTTTTTTTTTTTGCAGAAGCATACTTATCAAAGTTCGAGCGAAGCTATCGATTAGTGTGGATTTGGTATTTTTTGTCGTCGCGATATGTTTGTCCAGTTAAATTTACAAAAATTGAATTAGTAGTAACCTTAAAATTTTGTCGCAAAAAAGGTTCAAAGATATTTATTACATTCTATTAACAATGTCTGAAATATCAATGATCGAAATAGTGCAACAAGAGTGAAGAAAATTGAATTAAAAGCCTATTCAATAAAGGTAATAAATACACACTCCTAGATAATCTTTTTTCAAACTCTATTAGAATGCCAAATAAAAATTGATTCGATTTATAAATTTATTATTGAAAATACATTCAAGAAGCATCATCATAAAACTTAGCGTTTTCCCATTGTATTTATGGACAAATTACCGCGCCAATTCAGACTATGTATCTAGTACTTTGATAATGTTCATAATAATACAAATTTTTCACCTACTAACAAATAAACAATTGAAATCAGCTTAACAAAAAATCACATGTTCATGTCAGGTACTGTTTACTGGATGATGATCGTTACGAAAGTTTCTCGCAAACATTTATATCCGATTGGAGCAAGGGTCAATATATCATATATATCAATAATACAAAAATTATATATAAAAAAATTCTGCAAATTTGTTCAGGAACTCCGTAATGAATCTCAGCATAAAATATATATTATAAACTGGAATAATTAGGTACCTAAAAATTCCGAAATATATATAATAAATTATTGCCACTGTTGTCACAAAATTACGCGTCAATATTGAATGTTGACTTAAGTTCTTTGTAAAATTATTTTAAAATTAATTTCGAGTGTCCCATTTAATAACTTAATTAATTGGAATGTTAAGTTATTTATTTATGAATATAAGAGTACAGTTACTCTAAGCGTTTAGTTTGAAATATTATCAATCTTGAAACATTTTAGGCATAAAGATATAGCAATAGGTACCAAAAGTAAGTGAATTTTCTTGATATTTTTTTTACTCATACTAAAAGGTGAATAAATAATTCATTGTGGATATACCTAGTTCAGAATCTGGATAGGTTCTTAATCAAATAAACGAATCTGCCAGATGAAAAAAAAACTTTAAAGGGTAATTGAAATATACATAAATGTTTCCAAAAAAATCTAAACTAGTATATATATGTAAACTATTTTTTAGTAGATACACGAAATTCTATTATAAAATATGTAATATAAAAAGCTGGAACAGAAATGGATATACATTTAAGTCCAAACATCCTAATGACGAAATAATTTTGTGATTTCCAGTGAAAATGATTAATTAATATTTAACTTGTACAAATTTCGTATCAAAATAAATCACACAGTAATAAAGATATTGGCAAAACGATTAGGACATCCCACCATCAAAACCCCATCAGGTTTCAGTACCAAAATTTCTTTTTATATCCTCTTAATCTTGTCAAATGTAAATTTCATAACGATCTTGCAATCTCGTAAATGTACCATTAAAATAAAAACCATATTCAAAACTGAATATTAATTACAATTTAAGAACTAATTTTCGAAATGATTAATACATATTTAAAATCATCAGACAATTAATTAAATGTGCTCATCAATGGAAAGTTTTTTTTTGTATTTGTGTATTTGTGTATTTGTGTAAAGTGGTTTTAACATAAAAATAATTATTGTTTTTGGATAATCTATGCTGTTCGTGTTAATTTGAGTCGTATGATTTGTAAATTACAATATTAAATTAATTTATTGATTGAATTTGTATAAATTATGATTATTAATATTCTTTTGTTCAATTTTTTAAATTTTGAACAAACATGGAATAAGTCAAGTTGAATATTTTCTCCAACGATTTCTCTAACGAAAGCCAACGACAACGATTTTAAATTAAAAGAAAATATTACTAAGGAATAAATATAGAATACTTATTTTTCTAATGATTGATAACCGAAATTTACTGAGCAATGACACAAAATCAATATTAACAAATAATCAAGACAATAAATATTAAATAAATAAAATGTCTTTCACTTGTGTAATATTTTAACACTTTCACGCCAACGATGCAGTAACTCTTGAATAAAAACAAATTAAAATCCGCAAAAATCGTGTTACTCTAGGTTTTTATTTTTTACTCGTTTTTTTTTTAGTATGAAAATAAAAAATATTGTACCATTTTGCATCCTGGTTGAATATGCGAACTTTTCATGGAACTTGCTTTCATGCATAGAACGGCCAATTTTCTAAACTTTTAAATTCATAGTTTAACAAATAGACTTAATCCTAAAAAACTAGGGGCAATCGTATCAGTATTTTGGACTATGGTCCTAAAAATTGCGATTCTAAAGCGTAAATGAACAAAAATAATAAAACTTAACCAAAATAACTGAAAAATGTTCTTATTTTGAAAAAGCTCTAGATGGTACTCAAAAGTTCAGAATTTTCAAACTGCATGGATTTTTTTTTTCATTTTTCATGATAGTTACAAAACCGTACATCTCCCTTTTCGGCTTAACTATGAATTCTGAGTCACCCTGTATATATATGTTATCTGAAACACATATTTTGAAATCATTTTGTGAGAGTTGATAAAGTTATTTCATATTTTATTTTTCGGGCGTATTTTCGTTTTATTATATTGGCCATAAAAGTGACAATCTTCATGGCATTGAGCTTTTACGGGAAATGGTTGCAACCCCTGGTAGAGGGGGTAGCGGAGAGTTTAATGGGACTAATTGATCACTTCTAAAAGTGAAGTCCATGTAATAAAATAACATGTAATAAATAATAAATAAATATATCTTCTTTCATTATAACTTAGTGATAAATCAGTGATTGTCATAAGAATTGCAACAAATACAAAACAAATCAGTGTTTAATATAGTCCTTAGCTACAAGGGTTAAATTATAACCCAACAACCTGAGGTAATCGAAGGAAAGTTTTAATAAATTCCATAACTACGTAACATAAATACAATTATACTAAACTAACTGAAAAATGAATATCAACGACGGTAGATTCAATATTAATTTCAGATCTAGATCCAAATCACTATCTAGTACTGTAAATTAAAATAATATACAGACCACAATAATCAGAAAATTATTGCATTTTGACCAAAGCTCTAGATTGTACATAAAAGCTCATAATTTTGAAACTGTATGGGATCAACTGTTTTTCCAATTTTTTTCATTATAGTTGAGAAATCAATACTGATACCCCATTTCGGGTGGACGTTGAGTTTAGAGACATCCTATATATGAATATGAACATAACTTCGTAATTTTTCTTCTTCCAGTTACTCGCACTATATCATTCAGAAGATGATATGCATCGCTAACGTGAAAATATTAATAAAAACACATACAGTAATACCCCGTTTAACGCCGTACTGTTTAGTGCTGTTTCGGTTTAGCGCTCTTTTATTTCAACCCAGGTTTTGAAGGAATAAATGAGGAAGATGTTAAAGAAATAATTCAAGAAGCAGCGCAGGGTTTCTAATGGTGAGCTCAAGAAATGAACTAAACAAGAAGAAAACAAACTTGTTGACAGCACTGATTCAGCGGAAAAGCAAGAAGAACTTTCGATGTTGTTTTTAAAAAGAAGTTTGTCTGTCATAACTGAAATAATTGATCAATTCATTGAAAATGATCCGAATCCGGTGTTAGAAATGCTCTAACTTTTAAGAGAACAACGCAAAAAAAACGCTTTTGTCACAAAAAGGTAGAACACTAAAAACGCGGAAGACTAACTAAATATGGCTGACTTAGAATGTTATTTGTTTATCCAAGAACATTCGTTTTGTTATTTATATTTTGTTTTTATTTTTGTAAGAAATAATAATGTGGTATTATTTTGGGCTTTAAGAATGAAATGTTTGGTTTTATTTTTAGTAAAAATAACATACTTTTTAAAATTAATATCGCCATTTTCTAGCCGTCTTCCTCTAACTCTAATATTTCTATAGCTTCGTATAGCGCTGTTTTGCATTGCGCTCTACTTCGATGGAACGTATCCCCCGCGTTAAACGGGGTATTTCTGTATTCGACATTAAAGCTTATCAATGATATTTTGAGAAAAAACGCAGCATGAACATCGAATACTACAGGCTCCAAATTGCAGGTAATGAAGAGAATATTAAGATTTTTTTAAAATTCATCATTGCTCAATAATGAAACGTTTATGTTAAAATTGACAGTGTAAATGTGAAAATATGAGGCAAGATTTTCTTCTAGGTAATCGCCAAAAAATCTAGATATTCAACATGCCATTCCATATTTGTTACTATTCATCTACTACCAATGCACATTCTCTGGCATTGGTGTGTGTAATTGTAAATACAGATATCTTAACATTTCTATCCTGGTGTGTTTTGTGTGTGTGTGTGTTGATGTGTGTGTATGTGTATGTGTATGTGTATGCTTTTAACTAATACCCGTCGTGATGCGCGCCCGTGTATGACTTTTGACTCGGCGAAACTTGAAGCTCGAACTGAATGGGTTGCCGACTACTGTTCGATTGGTTTCGTCAACATAGGCGGATACCTAGACGACGACAGCCAATCGTATTGAACATTAATCTAAGAGAAACAAACAGGAAAAAGCATATTGCATATAGCATCAATGCATGTTTTTTTAGTTACAAATCATAATATAAAAAAAATATAAATAAACAATAATTACTTCATCACTAACTTAGAGGGAAGGCATATGTATATTGACTCGAGTTAACGACGCAGGTTCGTAGAATCATATGTTACAATTGTAAAAATATCAATATCAGGATCAATATAATAAAGTTATTTGACTAAAATTAAATTCGTCGATAAGTAAGTCAAGCTTCATTTCATATATCCGCACTTCATATATCTTCTTTCTTGTGTATCATATATATTTGCATATAGAAATCAAAAATATTATATAAAGCAAAGGTTTTTCATTCAAAAAAAAAAAAAAAAATCAAAATTAAAAATCTCTAAAAATTTCTGCAAACATCAAATGTGCGGATTTTTTGTAAGTATTTGTATTTTAAATATTAATCTTTGCTTTATAAATAGATCGTAGATCAAATTCTGAAAAACAACGTCGTATCTTCATATAAGAAATAACGTTAGTTACAATCACATTTCGTCATGCATTATATTCCCAAGGACAGATTTTTTTCTTTTTTTTTTTTCAAATTTCAAATATTTCTTTTCAAATTGCATATTTGCGGATGAAACAAACAGAAAAAAACTCATATTGTAATAAATAAATAAATTCAAAAACGATAAAAAAATCACTGTTTCTTCTTTGTTTTAAAAAGGTATTATAAAAAATCTGTCTCCTATCTAAGGGAAAAAATAATAATATGCCAATTTGTGTAGGCGTTTAAAGTCGACATACCAGTTTGAGGAGGTGCACATTCTGCAAAATATCTATTATTAGCATTGATTGGCATATAAGTGAACTCATGTGGTTCACTTGCTTTTCTGCTCTGATCATCTTTACCAGATACTATAAATACTCTGACTTTCACGGGCTCCTGGATGTCTTGTTTATAATAAGGAGGCACAGTGCAAACCAGGTGGATCTGAAAATAAAATATATATACATTAAATAATTATATTTACTTAAATACATAAATATTACCCATAGAAATGAAAAATAACATGCAACTATCTGATGTTTAGTTGCAACTATCTGACAAAAAAAGTTTCAAAATTGTAACCATTAATTTCTTCTAATCATTAATAAAATTTTACAAATTGTAATGATTACCATGTACACACCAATGAGAATATGCAAATAATATAAAAATACTCTTTAATTATTTAGTCGAGGACTATATATAGTCATCTCATGGTCTTGACGTTCCACTCGACAACAATTCAGAATCTTGTTAGGTATTTATTTTATGAATTGGAGTTTTAATAGAAAAGAATATAAAGAATATACTTTATTCAATAAATGTAATTTTGAATTTATTGACTTCATTTTTCACAACAGTGAAAAATAAATCTGAAGACTGATTTAACGTAATACATGGAACTATTCATTATCAAATAATAATAATAAGAAAATTTGTCCATTATTACCTGCTGTAAAAACTCTCTATTTGGTGTGACGTATTCGTCTTCATTTGCACTCCGACATTTTTCAAAAACAACTTGTGTATTTTTTAAAAAATTCTTTCCTAATATAATCAGCTCCATACCACCCGTGACTGGATAAGTGTTAAATGACATTTTTGAGATTTCTGGTACACCAGGAGGTTGAGCTATAAAAAGAAATTGAATTAAATATAGAAATAATCATTTACATTTTCTAATATGTACTGCAATATATAAAATATTAATATAAAACTGTATAATGAAGAAAAAACGTAATCATGTACTAGATATTGCAAAATTAGTAGATGAATATCATGATCCTTGCGTTATCTACGAGAGTATGTACTCTATATTTTAGAAACTATTTTATTCTGTAGCTTAAATAAATAGAGCAGATCACCAATGTTACCTAAATAATTATATTATATCATAAACTTACTGCAAATAATTGGTTGAGAGCATATTTGAAGAGTTTCTGTTGTATTATCATCATTTGTGACAACAGTTCTAAAAACCATTCGGCATCTTGTCGACTTCTTTTTGCTCCTTGAACCGGTCTGCTCTGGAAACCTATGCTCTACATCCACATTTCCTTTCCTAAAAAGGAAAAATAAAAATTATATTTTTCAATTAATGCAGAAATTTTAAATACCTATCATATAAAAGATTTTTTTTAGCTCAAATGGCCCTAGAAGAAAACGAGTTAATATTTTAAATTCTCAGTTCGATACTGACAACATTCTTCGATATAGGCTATATATGTCCCCATAAACAATCCTTCTTCCTTTAATTCAAAATTAATGTTATTCCCAACTTAACTTCTTGATATCAATACTTTCCAAAGTTCTATTATATTGCCACGTGCTGAACCGAATTCCAAAAGCATAACACTAAATAATTAATGAAAATAATAAATTAAACCAGGAACTTCAAATCATGACTAAATAAATTACCTTTTCTCAAATAGAAATCGCAAGATGTGTGTTGATTAAATTATAAGAAACTCCATTAATAATTCACATTTGCATAATAGTCACTCATTTTTATTGACAAAATCCGCTTATTCATTGAGAAATCAATTGTAGTTTTAATTAAAATAATTCGATGGCGATCAAAAATAAATATTTTGTAAACAAAACGATATCAAGAAGCATCGTCATATTTTGTTAAAATCAGTTATAAAATAAGTGTTAGTGAACATTGCACCTTGCAATAAATTAAAATATTTCAAGTAATTTAAACAGTAACATTCAAATTCGCAAATACGAGTTGAAATAGTTCATACTCCACTTAAATTTTTACGTTCTAGTTGCATAATTGTTGATATTATAATCATATTTATAATAAGTGGTTAACGCTTTTTAATGGGCATTTGTAATTATGATTATGTCACATTATAAAGTCTTTTGTTATTTTGTTTATTTGCATATTCATAGATTTGTTAAAATAATCGATTGTTATTCGATAAATGCGCAGCATTGTACGTTGCCTAATAGGTAACCAGGTCACTAATTATTTGGCGATAAAATTAATAAAGAAAATAATATATTTGTGATAATATATTTGCAATATATTTATTTAGAAAATGTAGATAAATAATATATAAATAGCAAAATTCTATAATAAATAAATCTGTTATATTTTCGTAAAATAAAACGGACAAACTAGACTAAATGAATGTGGCAGGTTAGAACGATAAGTTGTCACAAAAACTGTAGTATTATTTGATTAATATTATTTTTGAGTAATAAGGATTATTATTAATATAGTATTATTAATATAGCATAATTTAAATATAAAGTAGTTCATCTCTTCGTTATTTAGATGCATATAAATACTCTGCACCGTTACCGTGCATACTTTAATGAAACAAGAATCAAATGTTGGAAAACCTCGAGTAACATTAGCATGATAAGAGACGTATCGCACTTTTATATATCATTTTAAGACACATATTTCTTATTCTAAGGCGAAACAATTTGCTATAAATGATTTACCAAATACATTAGCCCAATTCGACTGATCATTTTCCAAATATTCCACAAAATAGGACTTCAACAAGGTCTATATCAAAACCTTTATACTCTATATATTATTAATTTCCTATTTTACAATTTTGTTCTTTTATTACCCTTATCTAAAACTTTAACTTACCTTTAAAATACCAACGCAGTCACAAATAACTTTCATTTCCTTCGCAGGATCTAATTCAATTTGTATAACCAGGGTGCCAGCGATTTTGACTTCTGTACAAGGGGTTGAATTCTTCCCCGAAACTCTGCAGGCCTGGTAGAACATGTGAGGGGCAACTCGACCCATGTCTGTTCCTATGAAAACTTGCAAAACTGTAGGTTTGTTGTAACCTATTAATTGGACTATGGGGAACCCGTGTTGATCGCGATCCTTCACTGCTCCTCTGCTTCCTTCAGTTTGATACCTGGTAATAAATGAATGGATAGTTATTTTGAAATGTCCGGTACTAGGTGCCACAGTTTAAAATCATATTTTTTTATACCAAAGTTTGATTGATAGTATTAATTATTTTATAGCAAAGATTGCGGTTTTGTTAATTTAGTTTGTTTTCTAACTTTGTTATCTAACATAAATCATAATTTAATAAACATTTCGTAAAATATTTTTTGATTTATTTATAAATAACCTTAGGTGTCCGCCACTAGGGGACTTGTCCCTAATATATAAATAGGAGTAATAGAATTTCTTTCGATTTTTCAATATCAGCAGTAGATATTTAACTATCAAATTTTTGTTTATTACCTGGCCCTATGTTGCGTTTCAGGTTGGCACAATATTTCCAATTTGACTTTTCCGTTTCGTGATATATTGTTATGTTGTGTCATGAGTGGTCCTGTGGGAATTGGAGGCCTCCTTGGAATCTGCGGCCTGGGAAGCGCCCGGTGAATTGGCACCGCTGTGGGCATTCTGGAAACAAATTTAAAAGAACTTTCGTACAAATCATTTTGAGATTGGTGATCCACTTTAAAACTTAAATATTTAGATGTATTAGAAGCATATACATATATATAAATACATATGCAAAAGTATGTATACAATAATGGCAGTAAGAATCCTTGATCATTTTTTTTGGTGTAATACATTTGCAAAAGCTCGGGGCAGAAAAGAGTCAATGGACTAATTTGAGTCTAAAACGTTGGATGAATAATTTAGAGCTATCGAAAACTAAACTTATCACTTATTTACCTGAGAGTTATATGAGTTACCTGAGATATACCTATTCTTTACCAGCAACAGATGATAAATTGATACTTTAAAATTTTATTTACAATTGTCACTGAAATTTAGAAGTTTACAATTAGCAGCAGTTATAAATTACAACGTTCAAAGAGTAATGTAAAATTTCTACGAAAACAAGTTTAAGATTCAGTAGTATTTAGAAATATTCACTATAGATTTTTATAAGAACATTTTTACATGAATACTTAATTTGAAGTAGGAATATACCTAGTGAAAATTAATTTTCAAAAATAGTATAATAAATATTTTAGAAAAATCCATTTTTATAAAATATAATAATAAAATTTGTACAAACTATGTATTACGAGAGATCAATTGAAAATAAATCAAATAATAATATAATAACTATTATTGAACCATTTAATGTTTATATCTGAAAGAATAGTTTTTTAAAAAAAGATCTCGAAGTAAAAACATGGAGACTGAGAATATTTGAAATGATTTAGAATAATCTTAATAAGATTTTTATAGTTAGTTAGAATTTCAATCGCAGTACATTTTAGAGTCAACAACTATATCCGTAGCAAATTTGTTTTTAATGAACCCAAGCATGATTTCCCCACAATTACCTTTGATAAGTTAGAACAATTATTAGTTACATGACAACCCATTTGTAAGCGACAGTGAATGACATGAAACAAATTTAATTTTACATAATCAATTATGGGATCAGTTAAATATATGACGACTCACAATAAACCAAGTAAAAATTTAAAATTAGATTTGCAAATTATAAAGTTAATGAATTAAGTTACTATCAATTACTAATCAAAAGCTTACTATCACAAGGTATGACTTTATAAAGTTTAACTCTAAAATATTTTGAATATTCAAATGCTGAATCTTTATACATCATCTTAGAAACATGAATTCACCAAACTTTGATTACAAAAAAAATCTGCTGGTTTATAAAAATATTTCGATAATTTTTTAAAAATAAAGCTCAAAAAATGAGTTAATAATATTCTAGAATCATTTTTACAAAAATGCCAATAAAGGTAATATGCCTATAAAATGTGATCGTATAAACACAGATTTATTAAAATATTTTTTATGATGTGCAGTCATCACCAATCATGTTGCCGAAAAGGTAGATGAGGAATTTCTTTTAAAGAGCCTCAATTCAATACTCATCAATTCTATCAGAATCCTGAACTTCTACGCCTACGTCTACTTTGACGGAATATCTAGTATGTTTTGTGAATGAATGAAAAACAATAATTTTAATGGATATTATAAAAATAACGTTTCATTTATAGGATACCTCAAAATTTTCATCCTACTTCTGACAGTAACTGTTTTTAAAGCAGTGCAATTTCACATGATAAATAATAACTACACTAAAATCTTGTATTTCATCCCTGTATTTTCATGTTATTATTTTATATCCTCTTGAAATAAATTGTTTTCAAATATCATTAGCACTACACAAAATTTGTAAATTTGAACTTAAAGGAGCTATTACAACCATGGTATTATGAGAATCACCATTTGAGAAATATTGATTAAATTCGATTTTTATGCAAAAAATAATAAATATCAATTCATATTTTTTTTTTAATTTATACAAAAAAAAATCCTTTATTAATTTGGGCTATATTAAGAGTGATATAGAGCAAATATTTTCGGCCTAAATTTTCCCACATAAGCTTAAATTGTTTACATTAACAAAAAGAGACTTATTTGTCTCGACACATCTTTCTAATGTATGTTACAAAAAATCCGAACAATTTTCAACCGTTACTTTGTTACAAGTGTGTATGAATTAATGTATTTTGAAGCGAATTATATCCGTTGCGGACACGCACAGTACGTAAGTTTAAGGTCAAGTATAGAAAAAGCGCGCGTGTCAGGTATCGGCGGGAGTCCAGTTATTGAAAAATGTTAATATGTATATTGAATAACATAATAACATGTGTCCGATGCAAATTTTTATTACATAAACAATGGCAAATGGTAAACAGAGCGATTATGGTAATCAATTGTGACCAGGCAAAGGTATCATGCACAATAATTGACGTTAATACATAAATTATTTTTATACATTCTGCGCTATAAATAAGCATGAGGATCTAAAAATAAATCCATTAAAACTGGCAGAGCAAACACGTATCTTATATCCCGATTGCGCAGATTGTTGATGATCTTACGTCGGTCTGATGTCATGCAATCATTTTTCAAATTAAGCACAGATTATAATATAAACTTTATAAATCCATTTTCTGCTTGCAGACTTATGTAGACAACAAATACAAACTTCAACACACATAAAAATAATGGCCAAACATACGCTATCTAACATGTATCCATTTTGAAGTAAAGGGTGTGCTTATACTAGTCTACTAGTGGATACTGAAAAGCAGTCAATCATTATACCATAAATCATTTTTTACATATATTGCTGCTGATTAGAAATAAGGAAGTAATATCCTGACATCGTCCTGCAAGAAATCTAAGGAACTTTAGGACCGTTAGAAGTAAAAGACAGGAGTTGATAGTTGACAAAAGAAAGAAAATACAAAAATTAAGACATCGAACCAAATAATAAGGAGGATCAACATTGAAGTTGGTGATAAATTAAAAATAATTAATATGCCAATATTCAAATTCTCAATTTAATTTTTCACCCCTAGATGAAATAAATGAAAAAAATGGTTTTAACTAAGAAAGTAAACAAAATGAAACTTGAAGAACTAAAAACGTATAGAATCTTGAAAAACTAATAGCTAACAAAAAAGGTAAATGAGGGTAGACGAGTTAATTCTCGATTTATATTTATTGATCTTGTACCTATCTAGTTATTTTTACAAAAATCAATAACAAATTTTGAAAAGCTCAATGTATAATTTCAACCAAACTACTAATACAGACTACTATTATTATTAAAACTATTATTAAACTGCCAAAATTTCAGATATTATAATTATTTGTGATTTTAACAAATAATTCCACAGCAAGCTATCAATTAAAAATATTAATACTATAAACTATTATACTTTCCAAATAAATAATTAAAGATGCATAATAAAAAATATTACCTTAGAGTAAATATGCCTAAAATGCGATAGCATGTCTAGTTACTGCTCTGATTTTAGAAATTTGCGATGGATGTTACGCCGATACGGTACTTTTCAGTGTTCATTAAGTATTTTTAATAATGTCAAATAATATTTTGTGTTAATAAAAGTGTAAAATAGGAGTCAAACAATGTTAGAGGATTTTTAATCTGCGGTCCAGCGGATGCTGCAAAACCGCTAACGTTCAGTAAAGTGTTACTACAAGGTGTATAATATTCAAATAAATGACAAAATTTTATAATGATCATAAATTTCTTTCAGAACACTGTCCATATCTATCAAAGCATATGTATAGCCAAAATAATGCCAGTATTTTTTTGACAAATTTTATTTATTTATTTTTACTAAACACACGTTCACAAAAAAAAGTTGTCTGGATTGGGTGCGCGACATATGTACTTCAATGTATTTTTGACCACTGAATACGAATCTAAAGCAAAGTTTGGGCAAAAAATAGAAAAAACAATATCGAGAAATATTTTGCGCATGATAATTTAAATCTTACTATTTATTTACAATTTTACAGGTCTTCAATCCTTAAATGACCTATATAACTGATTTCTGCAATGATTTTTTCATCTCTGTTGAACATCTTTTTGCAACTTTATTTGCCACGTAGGTATAAAATTTATTAAAACTCTTCTTCGATAACTCAGGTTATTAGGTTATAATTTAACCCTTGTTGGTGTAGACTGTATTAAATACTGTTTTGTTTTATATTTGTTGAAGTTCTTATTACAATCACTGATTTTTTACTAAGTTATTAATTAAAGAACATTTATTTATTTATTATTTATTATACCTGTTGTATTGCGGAGTTTACTTTTACAAGTTGACAATATGTCCCATTAAACGATTCGGTGCCCTTTCTACCAGGGGTAGCAACCATCCCGTGTAAAAGCTCAATGCCATGAAGATCGTCAACTTCACGGCCAATATAAAAAAACGAAAATACGTCCGAACAACAACTTACAGCAGTAATTTGCAAACATACTTATTCGATATTGCCCCAAGATGATCATCAAACATATTTAAGTTACCTCAAAATTTTTTTGAAAATTACTGCTGGAAGTTGTAAAACGATACTCAACAGAGATGAAAAAAGTGGTCACAAAAAACATTAATTGTAAGATTTTAATTATCATGCAAAAAGTTCTAGATCGAAAATTTTGTTGTTTTAATTTTTTTTTTTCATTTTCTGCAGTTGACTTCTAATTTTGACTTTAGATTCGTGTGCAGCGGTATTAGAAGACCATATTTTTTTAAGTCAAAACCGGAACGGCAATTTTTAGTTATCCGGGACGTGGGATAGTCTTTTTATATAAATCTCTTTTTTATAATGATTGAGGGCTTTTAGTAAAAACTTTATTATTCGATTATATGTCATACTTTTTCATTTTTTAAAAAAATAGCACTTGTAGGTTTGTTTTCATAATTTTTGTTAATTCATTTGTTAATTTCTGAAAAACTGGGACTATCCGCGACAATCCGGGACGAAAGATCTAACTCCGGGACAAAAGATCTAGCTCCGGGACAAAAGATCTAACTCCGGGACAAAAGATCTAACTCCGGTATAAATCATGCTTTTAAAGTAACCCGGGACACAAGGTGAAAATCCGGGACTGTCCCGGCCAATCATTTTTGTTAATTCATCTGTTAATTTTTGAAAAACCGGGACAATCCGGGATAAAAATCTAAATCCGGTACAAATCATTCTTTTAAAATAACCCGGGACACAAGGTGAAAATCCGGGACTGTCCCGGCCAATCCGGGACGTATGGTTACGTTAAGCGGAATACATTGGAAAACATATGTCGCACTGGGGCTGCAGATCCAGACAACTTGTTATGTGGACTTGTGTAATTGAAGATTTCACAAGTAATAGATTGTTTTTGTTCTATATAAAATATGCTGCATTTGTTTTAAAAAATGGCATTATTCTTGCAATACTTCACCAATTGCAAATTTATCTACAAACCCTTCTAACACCGGAGATAAAAATATCTAATCTTCCAGAGCCATATGTTATCAGTGATGCTGAAAATGCAGAAATTTAAGAAAAATGAAGGTAGATGCATAATTTTGGATTAGTATGAGTTGAATGTTGGCAAGTCTGGAAGATTGATATTTTTACCTAAGGCACCAACTCTCTATCTTAAAGTACTCACATTGTCATTCTTTTAATTTCGGTTGTCATAAATGAATCATTCGAATCATCGTTCGCGTCCATGGGTACATAATCGCTCCTAAAACGTTTGGCTAACGGCTGTTCGCCATGTGCTTCTACCGAACTAAGCGAACGAACATATGTGGTCGTGACTGCCGTCGATGCATCGCCTCCATAATCGCTTCCAATTGATGATAATCTGTGTTGGTACGCGCGACCGGACAATATTTTCAATAAAAACGCATTACAATCACATAGATCACACTATTTACCATATTTATAATGATTATTATTTACTAAAGATTTGAAGAACTCACAGAAAGATAATTATTCACTCCCTCCACAACATTTTTTGTCATGCAATCCTTGGTTACAGCGCTTCGAGCAATATATACAAAGGAAACGATATAACTCAAGAAGGTATCGATAAAAATGTTGTTTTCAAGTTAATAAATACATTTTTTGGATTAAATTTGAAAAAAATTCATGCAAGCAAGAAGTTCTCTTCAGTGAATTAGTATTTACATAATCATATTTAAGGGCAAATTCTCCGGTAAAATTGACCATAACATAGCGTTGTTATGGCAACGGTGCGTTACGCTCCTTCCTGGGTACTAAAAGTACCAATGCAATTTATTGCATTTTATTAAGTATTTGCTGTGCAGTAATGCTTTTACCTGAGAATTGGCCCTCAAGATTTTGTTTTACATTTTATTAGTCACCAACCACTAAAAGTAATTTTCTTAACGATTGTTCCACCAGCACATTTTTCCACTTTGTGTCTTGTATAGTTGTATTCCTCAGTTTTAATTCCGAACATTTGCCCAATTTTACCTCAACTGTCCAGTCATTTGAACTTAAAAAAGGTAAGAATCTCGGAATTCGAGATACCCAGCTGTAAGTCTGTAAATACTTGTATATTGGCACACTAAAGTTGTCTCAAAACCTACATATGGCATTGACACCCTACCATATGTAGATTTTGAGACAACTTTAGGGTGTCAATGTACAAGTATTTACACACTTTCTCAAAACCTACATATGGTATTGACACCCTATCATATGTACGTTTTGAGACAACTTAAGAGTGTCAATATACAAGTATTCACAGACTTACAGCTGGGTATCTAGAAAACTTTCATATGGTATTGACCCTACCATATGTAGGTTTTGAGACAACTTTTAAGGTGTCAATATACAAGTATTTACAGACTTACATCTAGGCATCTCGAATTCTGAGGTAAACTTACTATAATGACTGGACTATGTCTTCTGATAGATTATAGCAATGTGAGTTACTAAAACTAGTATAGAACATTTATTTCATAAAAAAAAACTGCATATGCGATTGAACTACTGCGCAGACTTATTCACAAGAAGGCATTTTACAAATATGCAAGTCCATGTAGAACATTGGCATTATATGATATGATGAAGAACAATTCGCAAAATTATAAAAAAATGCATAATTATTTGATTGTGAAGTAATACAATTTTGGACTCAATTTAAAGTAATACAATAACTGAAAATTTCACAATGATATTTCGGTAAATTGTTATGAAATCTAAGCTATGTAATTAGGGTGATGATATATGATTAAGTCCTACATATTGCAAACTTACTTGTTAAATTAAATTTAAAACTATTCATGTTTCTATAGTAATGTATGATAAAATAGTAAATTACGTTTGGTACAAATGATTGAGTTCGTGAGATGATAGGTAAAAGTCCTAGATTCAATTATTGTTTTTGCTTATTTCTTTTTATATATGCACGATTTTCTTAAAAAATCCTAATTGACTGATTAATAGAATTGCGTCAACATCATTTGAGAAATTCTACTAAAATAATGTATTATTTTATGGTTATTATTTTCAAACAGCTCAATGTGGAATTGTGCTTGGAAACAATCATTAACAAGTATTACATCTGCTGCAGTTTTTTTTAAATAACTCAAAAATCATGACTGCAGCCTATTATTTTATAGATAATTACATCTGCAAGAAAATAATAAAATGGAAGAATGTAAATACTACTTCACAGTCAAACATTGTTTTAAAAAAGAAATAAAAACAGACAGAAGAAGAGAAATAAAAATTATAGTAGCAAGATTACCGAATAAATAGATCCTTACAAATAAAAAAGTTTAACTGGTGCAATTTCACGTAAAATCCTCTAACATAATAGTAAACATGAAGACAAACGTTAAAGCTATAAATAAGTCTTATTATTTTATTATTTAGAAAAAGTAATAACGCATTTTCGTTATCCTTTGTATTGCTAAAATGTAAATAAATAATAACTATGCTTATTAATTAATTTATTTCTCAATATTTAAGAGTTTTTAATTACGTTTCTAGAAATTTCTAGAAGATTGATCCATAAACTAAACCTAATCAGTAAATTAGTCATGCATTAAGAAACATTGAAGTAATTTTTATTATTTATGCACATATATTAACAATACCATAACCAAGTACTTTTTAAATACATGTTTACCAATAGCGACTAATTAAAACACAATTAAGTAATATATATCAAAATCTTTTTAATCATATTTGGATAAGAAGAGTTTCAGTCATTATTTTATTGAACATGAAATCATTTTTAGGCAATAGAATTAAATGCTTGGTGTGCACACCAGAAATCTACAAATTTAATGATGAATACTTTTTTAAGATACTGGTGATGAAATGGTAACTTCATCAGGACCGACATTAATCTATAATGTTGAAAAAATGTGAAATAGAAAAAAATAAATTCAAACAGCTATTAAATAAAAATTATCATTTTTTGCAGAGGATGTTCTTGTAAAATGGCTGTAGTCACATTCTTCTAATTCAAACGCTGTATTACTTCATTTATTGAGAATAATAAGTAAAATTCCAAAAATGCGTTTTTTCAATGATACAACCAAGAGTCCTTACTGCAATATACTGGAAATTTGTATAGAAAAAATATTTTTAAATGGATAATTATATGGTTACTGAAATACCAACGACATTGTGTAGCATTTGTTCAACTTGGCCATTAAGCCGTATGTAAAGTACTTTTACTATTTCAAATAGCTTGAAGCATTTATGAAAGAATTATACATATAGCAATTACTTTCGTTATTTTCTATATACGAAGTTTATATATCGTCAATGACTACGTGCCAAAACATTTTTTGTTGATATAGTAAATATAAAAATATTCCAAAATAAGCTTTGTAACAATGAGTTTAATCATATAGAATTCACTATTTTAGCAGTGGCAAGCCAGAATTTAAATCTTCTACGAGTAAGAATTTTCAGTTGCTGATGTTCTATATGGAATAAGTAAAAAAAAAACAAAAAACAAAAAATACTTTGAATAGAGTGTTAAACACTCTAATATACTATTAAAAATTTATCTATTTTTAATTTAGTAAATTTATCATAGGCGCCGTTTCAATTTTTCTACATGACCAAGCACTCTTGGTATAATGATGCGCTTGGACGGCGATAGAAGCCTGTTGATTATATTCTAGCATTTTAACATGAGATTTACATACAGACGACTTTAACTTGACTGTATTATTACTTTATATGTCAAAGGGCAGTAACTTGATAACGACAATCAGTGATTTGTGTTATTATTATATTGCGATAGTCGTCGTAATGATATATTATTCTTTCCCTTGAAATGCGATATTTCATACCCGAGATAGGAGATATTTGCAGAGGCAATGACTTGTTGAGTGTCTGGCTCGAGAGTTCAAATTGGTAATATTATACAGACGAGTGTCAATTTATCGATTCTTGACAATAACATATTAATTAGTGCCAATAAATAAGGACAAGTCTGATAGAATTATTAACTAATTATTATTAAAAACGAATCAAAACTAAGGCTAAGTGTTGTTTGCTTATGTTTTGGCTATTGTATTATTTTCTAAAAAACAATTACTAATAGAAGTATTTTTTATTAAAGAAATTATTAAAGTATAAAACGCTCGATTGAGAACATTCTTGCGTACATCTTAATTTAAGAGCCAAAATTAATATAATATTATTATATAAAAAAATTACTGAAACTGAGTTCAGGATTATGACCAATACCGAAACCCGAGGAGTACTTTTTCGATAAATTAAAACTAACTTATTGAATTTTGTTAGGATTATTTAAAATTAATATTTTATCTTGATTGTTACAATGATTTTTAAGCATATCCGTTTAAAAAGTAAGAATTTCAAGAATCCACTACTATCAACGAAAATATGTATATTTTAAATAGCATCTATTTATAGATAATTTATGTAAACCTATTCCTGCTACTACAAAAATAGAATTAGTACAATACAAACGGAATGCATATTTATAGAGTTAAAAACAAACAGAAAAGGTCTAAAGTTTCCTATCGCATTGAAAAACCAATAGTAATTAATATTAAACGATACATTAAATTTCAATCGTTACCTAATCAGGCTTTTACAATAATATTAAATTATTTAAATAAATTTGTTGGTCAAATCTCTTCGACGCAGAACAGTGTTATAAAAGCTTCTTATTTAATGAAAATATTTTTGAAAAGTTCACATTTATAATGCTATAATATTTGCTGTGTTAATTAATTCTTTTAAGTAAATATTTGCCGTTAAAATTAATCATCATTACTCAGAAAGATATATACGATGCAATATTGAACACTATTTGATCAGAAAAGAATTAATGTCAATATTTGCTTAATAAAGTCCAAGCGTTCGATATCGTTGATTGTAAGTTCCTATTTTAGAAAAAAATACTTTTCACCAGATCTGGTGAAGAATTATGCAGAACAAGAGTTCACAAATCTCATAAGAGAAACAAATTATAATGGTGATAAGTTTTAATAGTATATTCCGAAGTAAAAAAAACTGATTGACATGAAAAAATTATATATATTGACTAAGCCAGTAATAATGGCAACTAAATTTCTGAATTTCTTTCTTTTTTTTTCTGAAAAAGTGATATTCCGTAGTATTCCTAAATGTAAAACATTATTTCTTGAAAAAGACTAGCCAAATGTCAAGAGCATATAGCCAAAGCTTTTAGGGATGAATTAATAAAATCTAAAAATTGTTTGCAGGCGCATATTAGTCTATAAATCTGCTACCTTTCAAAATATCTATTAAGCAGCCATAATAAATTTTAATTTGGCGTGAAAAGCACCAACAAGAAACAAAAATTCATAAATAAATTTAATAAATCATTAAACGTTTCTATTCCTCGATCCTAACATCACTCTCACTACATTTCCACCAGCTCGCCAGTTAAACAAAATAAATTAAACTATTTTTAAACAAAAAAACAATACATAAAAACAAGTAATGCAATTAAATCAATAAAATAATTTTTGCAGCACAAACAAGTTCTAAAAATAGCTTGAATGAATGCAGTTTAAAATGTGTACATTCATTATTCACGTCATAATATTAATAAGATTTAGTAGACAGATAATAAAATTCATGCAAATGAAAAGCAATGACGTTCTTCGTAATGGTTATAAACGCAAATAGAAGTTAAATAAAAATTAATAATATAGTTTGGAAGAAACATCCAGTAAGAAGTAATACCTAAATTTGCGATATTGTCTATTTTTGTAATATTTCTTTATATTTATTGAATAAATAAATCTTTTCAGAACACTCAGGGTAGGATTCTGAAAGATCTCAATATAATTTATATATTTTTGAAGCTTCTTGTGAATTTATTACTTCAGTTCATCATAAAATCAATATTGAATTTTGACAATATCAGCAATTTAAGTCTATAGAGTTCATTTACACATATGTACAGATTCAACAAATATCAACACAAAAATGCCAGATATTAGAAATCATATGAAGAATTAGAATAACAACTTTAACACAAAACAAAATAGATTTTACTAACCTTATATTAACAGTTTTCCATGGTTGAAGGAAAAACTATACGATACTTACGATTATATTATTTTTATATATATTTGCACAAATGAATTTATATATCACAATTTATTGGGTATTTTTATGGCAGAACACTATATATTATATAGTTGATAGACTTAAATATTGATATTTCGATTCAAAATTTTGAATAATTTTTGCAAAATATGAGTACTTCATAAACTTAGCAATGTTGCAATATTAATATCAATAAATTGTTGCAGTTGTTGCAATAATACTCAATACATTGTGATATATAAGGTCAAAAGCCATCTTGCACCCTTCAGTTCTGAACTTTACTTGACTTTAACTTATGTTGACCAATAAGTAACAATCAACACAATTTAATCAATATATAATTTATTAAAGCAAAGAAGTAAATAGCAATGACTTTAGCATATGTGCACATATACCATCAAGAAAGCAAATCATCACCAGCAACTCACTTCTCACAAAAAATGATTTTCTTATTCATGTATGTATTGTGACATTTTTAGATAAATGCCATCCATTTATGAAATGAATAAAAATGTAAGATAAATGAGTGTAATGTTAATGAATTGTAAGTGATGAATTTTTCTGGACATCAAACATAAATTCAAAAAATCTTTCATTAATTAACTATGATCTTTTTTTCACCCACCTGCTTCTAGACATCTCCAAATGATCGTATCCAAATCCGCTATCGTTGGAATTGTCACACGAAGTCTCCACGTTCTGCGGCGCTTTTCCTCTACTCTGAATGTTCTGCAATTTTCCAGGATGGTGATGCTGGTGCATTTGTCCACCTTTCCCAGACGAGTGCAGTTTTCCAGGATGTTGTAGTTTACCGGGCGTGTGCAGTTTGCCTGGATGTCGCTTTGAAGGTAGACGCAACGCCTTGCGATGGATTCGCGGCGTCATCGTCGAACTTGTCGACATGGTCATTTTCATGGCTGAAAATGAAAATTTGAATAATTGAATATTTATCGGTAAAAATCATGTATCACGTCTATATTCTAACTCTTTTATTATAGGTAAATAATTATTGAAGTAAAACTTCTTTAGGCGCTCCTAGGGTGTAAATCCGTACAAATACAACGGAAGTGCATTACGGCTCTCGATGAAATCATTTCTATACGGGTCGATTGTGATTAGACGTCGTGTATGTGAATAGAGTCGTTGTATGCGTACCGGCATCAACGTTGTATGCATTCCGATATCAACAAGGAAATGGGCATAGCTAAATAAACATTTTAAAGTTATATCAAAGTATAAATCTTGATTTAATGAAAAATGCCTGAATCAGAAGAATATTTTAATCAAATTAAACATTTGTTTTTTGAACTAAACGCAAGATTATTAATTAGAAATTATTTCTATATTATTCGTAGTTTCTATAAATCTTTGAAGTTATTAAAATAGAAAATATTATTAGGCAAGACATATATTACAGCTGTTCAAAGAATGAGATTATACCGCCAGCGAAAAAGTAAAAAAAATACAAGCAGTTAATGAAAGTATGTTAATTTTAATTACATGAAGTTTTTCAAACACAATTACATGAGTAGTGAAGTTGCGAAAACAATATTTGTTTAGGCGTTGTTTAACATAATCAATTGTGTGAACAAATATTATAGAAATTATTAATTAGCAATTACTTCATTTTTTTAATGAACGTTTATTTCTAAATGCTAATTACAATGACAAACCGATCCTGTCATATTCAAAGTATGACTTTAATTACATTATTGTTTTTAAATATTATACATATTTTTAATGCTATTTATAAATATATAATTTATAATTTATCAATAAATAAATTTGTATAATGGCTGACACTAATAAATGTGTGCATCACGAGTGTTGCCACATTACTAATAAACATTATGCAAAATTGTTATATGATGTATTTATTTTTACTTAGAAAGCTTAAATTTGCTACTTTATACAGTAGTAAATAAGTTTTACTTCAATCGCGTGTGAACCTTACGCGCACACTTTTTTATTATTATTATAAATACTTAAATATTTAAAAAGCAATAAAAAAAATTCTAGATTTCTCAATTATCAATATGATATTTTTAAGTAGTAATGTGTCGAGAATGGTTTGGTTCAAATTCATAATTCCAACTTTTTATTATTACTGTTTTATAAAAACTATTTAGAATATCAAAAACAATAATTGATGAAAATAAAAGAAGTATTCCTGATAGAACTATGGGAGCAAATTTTAGGCATGGGGTGTAAATTCAGAACAAATATGCATCACCCTTATTTTGTGTTTTTCGCCCTCAACAGAGGTACTACTGTGCACAAATTCTTAACTCTTTTTAAAAAAACTGAAACTCTTATTGCACATATACAATAAAACTGAAACTCTTATAGATAAACGTTTAATTTTTTTTCTTATATTTTTGTGGAAACATATTGACGATTCAGTTGAAAATATATTTCATATGCATATATTTTTGATCTTATTCATCACAATAATGTATATCTGTGTTTGAAACTGTGTGAGTAAATGATATGAGCCAAATAGATCATTAAATTGCACTGTATTCTGACAAATATTTTGTTCTCATTTCATTCATTCAAATTAATCAAGTTCATCTTTTCTATATTAGATGTTTATGTAAACATTATCTGGAATTGAACCAAGATGTAAATTCACGTGTTACGGTTAGTGGCGCCTCTATGTAGTGCGAAAACAATTAAAATTAAAGTAATGGCAAAGTAGTCGTGCTTGCGATCTGTTTATTTATTTAAGCCTTTATCCAACTTGAGCAAGTTTTTAATATTCGACTAAAAACTACCTAGTCGACGTCTAATCATAATCGATCCGTATAGAAATGATTTCATTGAGAACCGTAACGCACTTCCGTTGCATTCGTACGGATTTACCCTACCTAGTGGTATAAGGTATTATAAAAATTTTATTTTCTTGAAGATTTTTTTATAAAAATATCCCTAACTTGAATTACTGAAAAAATAAAGGTTGTACACCAATTGAAAACATAGTTTATGATCTTCATGCTCAATTAATCAAACACGACATAAGTGAGTGAATGCTTGGGCAATATTGAACAAAAAAATGATTATTTTTTCTTTCATTGTGATAATTGACTGCGTGTTTTTTGTTAACAAGTGCAAATATATTTATCTTTTAAAGTATTGAAAATTAAAACGTATACCTACAGTATCCCTAAAATCTTGCTACAAAAAATATATATGTAAAAAGTATATGAAATAATTATTTATGTAACAATACTATGATATCAATACCAAATTTTGAATAAAAAAATAAAAAATTAAACATTTGTCTAAAATATTCAAGAAACGAGTAAGCATTGGTTATGAGAATTCAAAGCTTCATAGCTATATTGAGAAATCATTATATATGCTATTGTAATGTTTGTGTACTTCAAGTTCGAAGAATTATATATATTTATTTAATATTTAAAAAAAAATATTATATTATTAATATAATTTCTATTAACACTAACAATATTTTTTTTGAACAAGATTGACAAAAATGTGCAATGATAAATAAATAAACAAGCATCCCGCATCTATAAACCATCTCAAGCTCATAAATAAATTTCATAAACAATTTAATAAGACAATAAGGCTTGGATGATAATAAAACATTTCATAGACAATAAAGGTATTAGTGGCGTGATAATAACAAACTATAAAACGTAATTATGATCAAACGAAATCATTATTTTCCGTTACACCTAGTTGAAACTTAATTTGCTTAACGCGTTATTTTTTATTAAGAAGTGAGATACATGCTACGGAAATAAAAAATACATCAGAAATCAGGGTGACATAGTTCACTGAAGAGTTCCTTATATTATAAACATATTTAAGCTTAAATTAAAAAACCAAAATCGCAGGGCCAATTACATTTTATATATCCAGATATAACTTTCACATTTTTGATTTTAGTTATATTAAAAGTGAATCATATTTATATTCGGTATTTACTTTGATAGCATTAAATAAACTAGTTGGTATTGGTATTTTACCTTGAGACAAGTTACATAAACTTACTGATAAGTGTAAATAATCAACTTAATCATTTATAACACATAATTGAAAACGAACGAACACGTAATCTCGGAGTATTTTCTAAAAGCAAATTTTCAAGAATCAACAATTTTTATAATTGAACCAGTAGCACTTTAGTGGTTTAGTATGTTCATTAAGACCAAGTACTCTATGGGTATCCAAGAAAATCGTCTAATTTTAATTTTAACAAACGTCAAAAAAACTATTCATTTTCTCAAACTTTAACGAATTTTTAAAATTAAACTACTTGTCGTAAGGCCGTAACATTTCAGTAAGTTCTATAAGACCATGATATATATCGCCAAAAAAATCCATAAAAATCGGCTTAAATTTTTTTTCAACAGTTAATTACAAGAAAACTCAATAAAACTTAGCGAATCGGATTTTTGATAAAAACATAAACTTTTCCTTAAAACGTAAACATTTATACAAGAAATCAGTTGGTCTTAGATTCATTTGATATTGAATTTGTCATACAAATCTTTATTACTTTTCAAGCAATCGCAATATAAAAATCCTAGTTACTATGATAAAAAAAAATAATTTTGGAAATTACCAGGACGCCGGACCAATTAATTTTCTATATATCCAGATACAACATTCACATTTTTGACTTCAGATATATTAAAAGTGGATCATATTTATATTGAGCATTTAACTTTACTATGATAAAAAAAAATAATTTTGGAAATTACCAGGACGCCGGACCAATTAATTTTCTATATATCCAGATACAACATTCACATTTTTGACTTCAGATATATTAAAAGTGGATCATATTTATATTGAGCATTTACTACGCTTGGATCAAATAAAATATTTAATTAGAATGCATATCCAATTTATCTCATACCTTATAATAATATATATACGGTATGTATATAATATAACTCAACTCGTGATTAAAACTCAAAACTCTCTTTTAAAATAAGATTTTTTTATCTTAGTTATCAATGAAGTTTATATAGTATTAGTTTACATGGTAAATAGCTAAAGTATCAATAACTAATATTACCATTATTTTTCATTGTAATCAAATTTAGAGCTTTAGAGCTTAAAGCTTTTCCATTATATGTCCATGATATCGCTAATAATACTAATAAAAACTGACAATAACTATGACAAATATTAAAAAATCTTGTTTTATATTGGAATATATTTGCTTAAAATGATTATATTTAAAGAAACTATATATATATATATATATAATATATATATATTAATTAAAAAATTAAAAATTATAAAATAATTTTGAACATATTTCATTTAGGTAATAAATTAAGCACATGTTTTCGGTCGATCTAAAGTTTGTGACAATAAAAATTAAACAAACAACTATCTGTAGATGTATGCTCACAAAAAGTAGACAAAAATAATATATTTAAAACAATGTCTACAAAATTTAGTTTTTAATTTAGTCGCAATTAACAATTTATATAAGGTACCAAAAATATTTCATTTCATTACCACATTCCATATCATTTCATAATTCATTTCTTATTAATTGTTTTTTACACAAAAATCGTCGTTATCGTCGCCAACTATCAAAATTTATAAAAATAACACGTACGTATGTTTGATAATTGCTTTTGTAATTAGACAAATGAATGGTTCTTAAAAGTCTGATGTCTTATTAATTACATCGACCAAAATTTCGACAAGTTTTCTTCCATTATAATTATTATTGAAAATCTTATTGCGAGGCCAGAGGTCTTTCGAGAACCACTAAAATGGGACCGCCTCGGGCTGATTGGATTTTGGATAATGGACAATCGAAATATTTTACGCATTCTTGTTGATAAAATAATAATCAAAACAGGGACGAAGTAGAATTTTATAGAAAAGCATCCAGAATCGGATCCGTTATAAAATATAAAGC